TCGGGACGCTATGTGCGAAGCGCCAATCTCCCAGTAACTTGAAGTCGCATCTCTACGTAACGTAGTTAAAGGTCACTGTTTTCCCTCATTCGAATATTTTAGGTTTTAATCGTAAATATAAGCACCAGCACAGCTTCGTTACTGAAACGTGAGCGAGTTCTTAGTTGCGTCAAGGGGAGTCACTGACTGAAATATGGCGAATGAAGACACCCAATTTTCCGAGCAAAGTCCATACTTTTTTTTTTTTTAATTCTTACTGGCAGTTCCCATGTTCGCCCACCTAAGAAAGAAATATGTTTATAATCAACATTCTAGTATGGCTCCGGTTACAAAACTCACGTTCATAGATCGGATGTTCTGATGTTGCACGTATTAACATTTCCAGGTCCTATACTTGCTCCAAAAACTAGAAGAAAAAAAATAATAAATTAAGAACTTATTTGATGGACAAACGACGCATCTCCGTCCGTCCATTCGACCGCCCTCTCTTCTTGTCGATAGAGATAGCGATGGGGTGTCTCCGCGGTCTAGAGTTCAAAACCGAAACTTTAAGATAGGCTAGTCACTTTCAAGTTTGTGTATATTTCGGAATTAAAAACAGCTCGAAAAGACCAGGACCAGACAAAGACGTGACACTTCTTTGTCTGGTCCTCGTCTTTTCGCGCTGTTTTTAGCTCGGAAGTATGTACCAACTCGCCCAAGCCTCAGCTTTAGCATTGTGTATAATCCTCCCCTTGTTTCTGCTTAGATTAGTCCCCCCCCCCCCCTCCTTCTCCCCCATCGTTCCCAAAAAAACATGTCCTACACACAGAGTTAGTTCAGTGGAGTCTATCTCGACATACTTAAGAAAAAAATGTTTCAAGGCGGAACCACCTATTTCCTAAACACCTTTCCTAAGCCGCCAAAAATATTATATATATATCTATATATATATATAGATTTGAAGAGGTATATTCGGTAGGAAGCACCTTCCGAACAGCATTATATGTGTTTTGAAGTTTACTGTGTAGATCACTACCCCTCTGTGCCTCATTAGAAGCACTTCCGTGTGTTTCGCCAGAAAACAGCGGCACACCACAAGGCCTCTTTTACGCGGTTTTTGCTCACTGCTCATCCGACTAGGGAAAATGGGCCGGTAATTCTGGAAGTTCCACATTAGGGACTTGGCGGTGAATAACCACTGGGTGCCCTCGAAAGAACAGCTGTCTCGAAGGTTGGCCATCTCGCGGTGACGTCGTTGAACTGCAGCCATCCTGTTGGTGGGGTGTAGTCCAGTTTCCTGTCGGGATCGAAGGAGCAGTCTCGACCGCTGGAACGAGATGTGGGAGACGGTTGTGATCCTTTCGGGTCGGGGGCTCGTTGGCGGGCAGCGTTTCGGGGCGACGTGCCCCATCGATCTCGGCGTCTGGTCGAGGCTGTCGCTGGTGCCGAGGCGCCGTCTGCGGCCGCAGGGGAGCCCCTGCATGGCGGGCCCTTCCCGCTCCCTCCCCTTCCGGGCCGGCTCATCAGCGAAAGTACCCGCGTTGCCCCGGCCCGGATTAATACGTCGGCCATCTTCCGCGCCCTCCCTGGCGCGCTTATCCTCCTGGAAGAACGGCCGAGTACGCGTTCGGGGTGCCGCTTCGGCCCACTTGGAACTGGCTCAAGTGACCAGCGTGCCACTTACTTCTTCATTATTCTTTTTTTATTTTTCACTCTTTAATGTTTTTTGTTGTTTTTTTCTACCGTGTTTATTTTTTTTTACTTCATTTAAAAAGGTACTTAGATCCTAACGAAAAAGAAAAAAAAAATTCGCTCGTGGCTACTGGGAATTTATTCCCACAGGTTGCGGGTCGCTAAGCCCGCGATGCTTGATAGCGTCACCGCGATATCGACAGTCGTTCGGCATATATTTCGATCGAGATGAACGATAGCCCACAGAACGGTCGAGAGACACCTTATCGGGATGTGGTCGAAGGAAGCTTTCCGTGCACCACGTCACTGTGGAGGCCCTCGGGCGACCCGGCGTGCCTCTCGTCATTGGGCCAGGGATGAGCGGTCCCCACGCAGCCCCTCGGGCCAACTCGGGAATCTGGCCGATTGCGGTCCCCTCGACCTCTTTCTTCCCCCGCTGGCCGACGGACGCCTTCGCCTCGCCCTACCGCCTTCCCTCGACCTTCCCTATGAGAAGAAAGAAGGAAATAGAAGCGAAAACAAGACGCGTGCAGAGAGGAGGCGTCGCCCAGAACCGATTTTAATATTGGCCCGTTCTTGTTTTGTTGGTTCCCGGTCGGCTGCTGCCTCGGAGAAAAGTTTCTCAATCTCTCTACGAGCTCCTTCCCCTCGTCGGCCGGGCCGGTTTTGATTGGATTGTTTTGTAAAGGATCGGCCGGAGGGGCACCCCTGCAACAAGAGCAAGAAAATCTATATCAATCCGAGCGGGGCTTTCTTCATTTCCATTCCATTTTGCGATGGGTTCCGGGGCGCCCCGGCGAAGGAGCGACGCTTCGTTTTTTTCTTCCTCTCGGTGTGCGAGCCAACTTTCCAGGCAGGAATTCCGAACGCCGTCCGCGCTCTTGTTTTTTCGGCTGCGGGGCGCCTCTCGGAATGTGTCCTCTTCGGGGGCCGGCTGTGGGCGCGCTAAGTAGGCGCTTGCTCGCGGGCTGTCCGGCTCGTCGGCCGTTTTGTCTCCGGCAGGCGCTGGCAGGCGCCCGATCCGGGCTGTCCGCGGGACGCGCGATTGATGCTTCGTATAAATTTCAAGACGCCGGACCCGGGTACGGGGCAGCCGCCGGACGTCCAATTTGGAAGAGAGCTTTTCCCTGTCGCCGACGCCGGGACAGCTCCAAAATTCTGACCTTGGCTGCTGCAACCGAAAAGCCACCGAGGGTTCTTTTTTTTATCTTTTTAGTTTCGTGTTTTACTCCCTGCTCCCATAAAATAGCGACAAGATGTTGTCGTGTGTCTTCGCGGAGCCCCCGAAGTAGAGCACGGCTGTCGTGGACTTAAAAAAAGGGGCGAAGACGGGCAGGAGACTGCTTTCCACGCGATCAGTCATAGGTAGCCCTGTTTCGTGCGTGTGTGTGTGGGCATTTGGCAATGGATGGTTCTTACCAGATGAGATTGAACACAATGTCGAAAAAAACTCAGAATTAGGTGTGAAAATCTACCACGTTTGGGGGATGTATAACAACGTATCTCCGAACCACGAACCCTTCGTCGCAAGGCGACATTCCTAAAGTGACCTGGGCGGCAATTTCATCGTGCGCGTCTGAACACTATTGTCACGCATGCGAAAACAGCGTTCTCGAAAGGGTCTTACTCTTGTTCTGTTCGAGTGCAAGACGACTTCTGCAGCCTCTTTCCCGTCATTCGCCGTCGAACCCGGCGCCGTGTTCGAGCGCAGAGCGTGCCTAGCTCGGTCGTGCCTGACTTCTAATCCGAACAGCGCAGCGAGGTGGAGCGAACGGTGTAGAGCGCGTCTGTGACACGAGCGTGCCTAATCCGGGGCGTCTTGGCGGCCGTTTCCGCTCAGAGACTCGGGGAGGCGTCGGGAATCAAATCAGCGTCGAGACCGAAACGGGACTCGCTGCCGCGGGGACTGTCCCCCCGCCAGGCTGCTCCGGGAGCCTCCGAGGGTGCTCCATTAGCCAGGAAAGCCTCCCCGGCGGCCGAATCAATGCTCCGCTTCCCGGGCGCTTTTCCAGCGCCTTTTCTCATTCAAAGTACGGCTCTTGCTTGCGCTGCCTTCGAAGCGCTGCGGCTCGCTTCTCGCGTGCGCAGTGCCGGGCGACTCCCCACGGCGCCGGCTCCTTTGTGTGGCGCCCCTCTGGTTCCGGCGGCTCTAATCCCGAGCCACTAAAGGTATACCGTGGCTCGGCGCCCCGGCCGCCAACGCGAGTCGCGAGCAGTCTACCGTCGTGTTTCACCCGTGCGCGCGAGGGGGTGCGAGGAAAGCCCGATTCACGTGGTGCGATTTTACTTGCGATTTCGCAGTTGCCATGTCGCTTGTCAAAGAAGGCGCGGTGGAAGCTGCGGTGCTCACCGCCGCACTTGCGAAATCGCGAGTAAAGTCGCACCACGTGAATCGGGCTTAGCGCCGTTACAAGGGTAACGCGTTTGCTTTCAATAACAATCTACCGATTTCTTTTTTTTGTTTTTTTCGTCTTGTTTTTGTTAGATCTCTCGGTCGCGTTCGCTATACATGGCGACCCCGTCGTGTATCATAGAGTAAGTGAGAAAGACGCCCATTTTATGCTTCGGCCACAGAAGGTTGCAAAAAATTTTCGAGTCTTTTTTTTTTTTTTTTTTTTTTTTGCTAATTTTGGAATGGTGTTTGGAAGCACGACGAGTGGGATGGATGGGGGCGTTGGCCGCGACGCTCCAGGTCGAGCGGTGAAAGCGGTACTTCAAGATCATAGCACCGAAGGGATTTGGGAGAGATAATGCTAACCGTCAAAAGACATCGCTGCCGATATTAGTAGGGGTGTCTCGTTTGAGACCCTCGAAAGGTGCTGGGAGTCGATGGGGAGTTTTTGGAGAGGCCGCGGTATTTCTCTTACCTTAAAATTTAGAAATAGGTTCCGCGGGGGCGTCGGTTCCTTTCTCATATACGTTTCTCTCTTATTGTTTTTAATGTTGCATTAAAGTAACCATTGGGTGAGAGCCCAATGAACTTTCTTCGGTTTAGTTGGGCTTTCACAAACCGTTGTGTGAATAGGACCACCTCATCAATTCTCCCTGAGTGGTCGTTGCTTTCCCTGAAACCTAGGATCCTGCAAATTATATGAGGGAAAACCGAGTAATTGGACGGGATATATTTAGAACACTATGACGCTTGCAGGACGCTATACTAATAATAAAAAAGCTGAGAAAAATAAAAAAAGAAAAAAAAGATGCGCGTAGTTTTGCGGATCAGACACGGTGCAAGTCGGCCCCTGGTGTAGCTGGCTGAAGGCATCCTCAACTTTTGTCTTTGTCTTTGTGTCCCGGCTGACCGATGCGTCCCCTCTGTGTTGCAGCGGCGGGGGCATCGGCGTACAGCATGGTGCCCACGACGCAGGGTCAGCAGGGTCAGATGATCAGTCCGCCCCCGCCGGGAGGGCCCCAGGACTCCATGTACAACATGAGCATGAACGGCGGCGACTCCTACCAGAACGCCATGGGCGCCAACGTGCAATCTCAGGTGGGTGCTCTTCTTCCTCTGCCCTCCGGCGTCGAGGTTCAGAGTTGAGGCTCCTCCCAGCTCTAGGAGAGCCTCATCTCCAGCGTTCGCTCTGCTACAGTGCAAAGGGGTCCACCAAACTCGTAACCGGTCACCGACTGTGTCCCGCGCACAACTCTGTGTAAGCGAGACTGCCGTTCTCTCGAAGCGGCCGCTCGGAGCCCCGTTCATTAAGGGGGCCAGGAAGCCGATTCACTGGTCCTGGCTTATGCAGCGAATACTTCTCGGTGAGAGTTATACGCTTCGAGAGTGAGAGCAGGAAGATGTCAGGGCGCTGATTGAAAGGGTAGGTGCAAAGGCCAGCTGCCTCGGTCTCCGTGCACCGCCGAGTGTTCGAACGACTCCCCGCTAAAAGCAGACGTGTAATACTGGTTCCTCTAAAACAGGAACGAAAGCTCGTTCCTCCTGATTCTGGGAAAGTGTTTCCGTTACAGTTCTAAGATTGGAATGTGTCCTTACATTAACTGACCGGTCGCGTAGTTCAATATTGCGCCGGATAATCCGTACACTACATAAGATAAAGTGAGTGAGAATATCCTCATCGAACTAGGTGTCGTGTCGCCCCGATCAGGTTTGTCCCAGTTCTTTGTTTTCGACTACCCCTCGGACATTTCCCCATCCCTCCAAGTCGGATGTGGATAGAGTCAATAATAATAAAAAAGTATAAATGTCTACTAAACTCATTTAGGAACGCAAATATATAGAGAAAAGAAAAAAAAAGGAACGCGGTTTCTTTTTTTGTTTTCTCAATAACATAACCCGTTCCAGTTCCTCTAACGCAGAGTGGAACAGCGGCGCTCTTACTAAACAGGAACGCGGTTTCGTGCAAAGCTGCAGAAGACTCTGTTTGCTCTAATTGGTGGGGAGACAGTGGACAAAGACAGCTACCCTTTGTTCCAATCGAAGCTCCGACTACACGCTCTCATCTCTTCCTCTCCCTCGTTTTCTCACCGCGCAACCTGCTGGAATCAAATTGCAATGCCTTACACTTGACCTCCTAGCGAGTGATATGTACGGTTTCAATTTCTGTGACCGATGCTTCAGCGCAGCTGCACGAAGAAACAGGCGCCCTGTTCCCGTCATTTCTTTTAAGCAAAGCCGCGTGGTTCCGCTCATAATAGAAAAAAGCAGAGACAAGGACCTAAAAGGACAGAACAACACCGTCTCAAAAGAGAACAACACCGGTTCTGTCCTTTTAGCTCCTTGTCTCTGGGTTTTGCTACTATGATTCGTCACCAGCTCGCCTGCGTCTTACCTCTAATTCCCCGCTGGCAGTGTAGAAAAGGCGAGTGATGTATTAATCTGTGTCGCGATTTAGCCTTCCGAGGACCGTTAGCACCCACTCACTTTTCCACGGTGGCCGCGCGACAGCATTGAGGCAGTGGGACCCAGTTTCCTTTCTGCCTGTTCGTGTGACGCGATGACCTTCGTGGATTATGAGCGAGCGGCGTAGATGCCGAAGTGCGACTGCAATCCGGCGCGATTTCCGATTAGGGGGACGAATCGACGTGTGAACGGGGTTTCGGTACTGGTACAGAAATGCAGAAGGGCTCGACTATCGTAAAGCCCTTGGACTCGGCGTGACGCGTGTTTCGACTGTCTTTGGAGTGCTATACTCTAGAACTGCGTTTGGGCACGTTATGATGGCGGGGATTTGTGTCGAAATCTGTGTTCGCGCTTCCGTGATATTTCTGTCTCGTTTTGTCATAAGTGTAACATCGCAAAACGGTGTTTTTTTTTATATATATATATATTTTTTTTTTTGTTTTCGGTTGTGGGAGCTACGCGTTCGTTGGACAAATGAACCGCCCATCTTTTCGTCATCTTACCTCGCTTTCTGAGCACGGCCTTTGCTTCGCTTATCACCCGGGTGAAAAAGGCTGAGTCACTGAGCTGTCGATGCACGCATAGCGTCTGATCTACCGGATAGCGGATGATCAGAGGGGGCTCCACAGCGCAGGAGACAAACATTGCGCCGCGGAAAAGGCGACTTTGGCGAAGCTCTATATGGGCGGAAGCCTGATTACGTGTCCAAAGATCGGCGTATTACCAAAGAGCGTGCAGCTTCCACTACGCTCCGTCACTACGTAGCTTCCACTACGTGCCTCCGTCACCTATTTCTCGTCCATGCTACCTCGACCCGATGACACGCTGAGTAGCCATTTTCGTGCAAAAACCTAACGAGCCTGAGGCTGTTTCAACCTCGGCTTTGTTCAGTGCCGTGATTGGCGTTCGATTAGACGCGTAATTGCCTCCATCGCTTCCGGTTTTGCCGTTGCCGAAACGCCGTTAACAAAGCTTTTCTTTTTTTAAATGTTTGGCAGCGTTTTTTTGTTTCGTTTTTTCGTATGTTTCTGCGACAATGGGAGCGGTTGCGTGAGCGTGGGACGCCGCCGCAACGTGACTGCCTTTTAAGCGCCCTCCCCCGAAAAAGAGCGGGCCTGGCTTAGCGCCGCCGGGGCGAAGCCGGGAGTCCAAAGCGGCTTAGCGGCGCGGCGGGATGCGCTCTGCCCGCGCAAACAAGTAAATCGGGGAGCAGCAACACGGAGCGGGATTACCAGCGCGAGGAGCGACTCCGACCGCCGTTAATCCGGCGCCGTGGCGGGCTTCTCGGGCTTCCATTAACGCGGCGCGAGCCCCGCTTTGGGGCAAGCCGCAGCTAACAAGCTTTGGCCGGTCGCCAGGCGGCTCTCGGGACGCCGGCCCTCGCGGCGCCCGACTTTGCCCGCGCCTCTCTTCGGGGCCCTCCTAAGACCCCGAACGGGGGACCGTCTTCGTGCCGAGACTCTCGGATAACGAGCCCGTGGTGCGAGTCTGCAGCCCAAACAAAGGCACAAACAGGCCCGGCGTCGTTTTGGCCGCTTTTTGGGGGCGCCTTCCTCGATGGCCCTCTCGTGGGAGGCCGGGGGGACGTCGAGGCCCGCGTTGGGGACGCTTGGTGCGCCGGTCGAGCTCGCGTCACCCGCACGGGCCAGAAGGGCGCGCGTGGGACCGGGGTGGTCGTCGGGTCGTTTTCTTGTCGTCGGCGCTGTTACCGTCTGGCGACACTAACCGTTGGCTCCCCGCTTGTCTGTCCCCATCGCTAGCTCTGCAATTTGGAGACGTGGGCCTGAGGAAGCGGCGGCGGCGATCGTTGATGATGGCTCGCGGGAGGAACCTCGCCCTGCTCTTTGTAAGCCGTTTTCACTCTCTCCGTTGCCTGCCCCCGACCCGAATTGACCGCCGCCGCCGCCTTCCTCTCGCCTCTGTCGAGCACGAAGGGGTCCCGCACAGTTGGGAACTTCGAGGGTTTCTAGACGGACCAGCAGCCAAAATCCCAAAAGGTTATGCTCCCCGCAAATTATGAGAACGCCGTGTAGGCAGCGTCTGAAGAGGGAGAGAGGGTAGTACAGTTTCGTTCTTGGTCTCGCACGTTCGCCTGCGTCGACCCCCAGGTCGCCTCTGTCCTCGACTACCGCCGGTTCTATGGGGCCAAGTTTCAGAATCTTTTTTGTTGCCGAGGACGGCACAGCGCAGTATTTCCATTCGTGGATTGCAAGCACTGTCAGTGTTTGGTCATTCGCTATGAAGCACTGGTCACGTATGGATCCTACGGGGTTCACCTGCTTAAGAAGCTGCCCACTGCAAGTGAGGAGTTTTTCCTATCCACGAACGCATCGTGATTTTTGGTTTTTGTTCCTTTTGCAACCGGGCGGATTTCCTTTAATTTGTTTACGTTCCAATGGCGCGGGAGGGAGGACACTGGAAGGCTGTCTCTTTGTAAGACTAGACTCTGGCGGAATCGGTCAATTCGGTGTTCGGGGGGATTTTTGTGCGAATCTTGTCCCTGTCCTGGCGGTCTTAGCTAAGTGTACTCGGAGGACACTTGCCGTTCCAGTAATGCCTGCTTCCAGTTGCTACAGTCAATCTGGCGACGATGCTCAATTCTAGGCATATCTTAGTTTCTTCTCCAGTCTCGTTTGCGTTCTTTAGAGGGCTTTCTCGTTTTTATTGTTGCCAATGTGTCGTGCTTTAGCTATGCGTTTCTGCGGATCCTCGCTGTACCTTTCGCCCTCTATGTAGCTTCCATTCGTAAATGAGGGAAGCAAGAGCGAAGCTGTTTTGGACCTCCATCTAGCGCGTCGTTCTGTGGGGCCTTACTTAGCGAAGCCTTGGGGGCGTCTGGCAACGGTGTGTTTTGTTCCTCCGCAGGGCAGCGCCAGTGTCGCGTCGTCGTCGCCTGCCGACCTCGGTGCCGGCTGTTTGTAAGCTAGGCAGGGAAAAGAGAGTGCGGCCGCCGCCAACAGGTGACGCGCGCGTGGCAGCTGCGACTCTGGGCCGACCGGGTCCCGCTTCTGCGACTTTCGAGTTCTTCTTCACCGCCATCCACCCAAGACGAACGGACTAAGCGCCATCAAGGGCTGGACGCGTGAAAAGACGGTACACACGGCGGCCAGCTTGGAGCACCGTCCACACGCGGAGACGCCCACGACGCCACCCGGGGCCGCCGGCCCCGTGCGCAGCAGGGGCGGCGCTCCGCTCTGTAACATAGACTCTGCCGCGAGGCGCCCCTGCACTGCGGGGAAGATCCCTTTCTGTCCCTGTGCTCACTCTGGGACGACGTCTGCTCCTCGGCGCCTGCCTCTTTGTACGCTGTGCGTTCCCCGAAGGGAATCTGGACTCCCGTCGGCCGGAACACGTGCGTTTTGCCGGGGACACAGTTTTATTTTGGTTTATTCGACGCGCAATTTGCTGGACGGAATTGCGGGTGCGTACTGTAAGCGGGACCGGCCGCCAGCGGGATCGAGACTTTGTTCCTCATGTGATAGGTGGTTAGGGGTTCACGATGGTCGGTTCTCTCCGCGACGGCGTGGCTACGGGCCAGAGGGTGTCCCTTTTCTTTCGCGAGTCTTTTCGCGTGCGGTTACTGCTCCGAAAGAACGTGCGCGTGATCGGACTGCTCGGTTTCTGTCTCGCCCGGGTGCTAGGCTAACAGTCGACGAGTAAGAACTGCGCCTCGTGGGCGTTTTTTATGGATGTCCTGTCACGAGCGATGGTGTATGAAACCATCCCATTTTACTTGCACCCAGCCACGGTATGCGTCCTCCACGCCCGCACAAAGCCTTTACCAGATGGCTAACCGAGAGCAGGGTCACCTTGGGCAGGTGAGCTCGTTGCCGACAAACGTTGGGCCGTTGTCCCAGAACAACTCTCCCCGTCCACCCCCGAAGGGAACTCGGGCGCCTCCGGGTCGCATTGTTAGGCGCTGTCCTTTGTGCGAAGGACGCTGGGAACGTGCGCGGAAGACGGCAGCGCTGATTATGATAACGCTCATTATCTCACTCGCAACTTTCTGATTAATTCCGGAGAAGCGAGTTCTCCGCTCAACTTTCTTTCTCTTGGGCGCGCCTTCTCGGGCCAGCAAAAGACAGAAAAAGGCAGCTTTTCTTGCTGGCCCGAACGCACTTGGGGCCCTTTGGCCAGGCACCGCCAAGTCGCGCGAGGATTGGTCAAGGCGGCGTCGGCCCCGCGCCGACTGGGCCAATCGGCGACCGGCGCCACGCCCACTTCCTTGCGGCCCCTCGCGGGACTCGGGTTCGGAGCGCATGCGCAGAACGTGCCGCGCAGAGCTCGCTGTTCCCGCGGAGTCTCGCCCGGGGCTCCGGCGACACCAGGCGTCGAACCCCGGAGCTCCGCGCACCGGGCTGCAGCGGGCCGCGCTCTCGGCGGCGCCGCTCCCACGCTTCCCTCGGAGAGGATCCTTTCTGGTTTTCTCTCCCGTAGGATTCAAAGTCAGCTTTGAAAACACCGGAGCGAGGCCGTTGGCGAAATTTCACATCAGATATCTCGAGCAAAACGCCCCTAGGTGGCAGCAATCGCAAAAATAGGTTAGCGAAGCTCTTTGGCGTCCATGCGGCGCTAGGTTTTTTCGCGTATCCCTTTACACAGTTTCGCGTAATGCGAATATTTATCGCTCGAACCCGTAAGCGACTCCGGACGGGCGTAGTCCACGCTATTCGTTCCCCGTCGCCCGTCACAATGAGGCTCGTGTAGTGACGCGCAAGAATTCCGCATTTCTTTGGTTCTCGGGAGTAAAAACGGTGACGTGTTTGACGTCATGAACCTCGTTCTGTACTCGCGGTTTGGTTACGAAACTCGATTTGTTTCGTCACCGCCTCTAACGGCGGTTTTCTTCGTCGTTTTGAGCTGCTCTGGTTGCGCAACGACGATGGGGACCAAACCGCGTTAAAGTTACTGGATCCTGAAAAAGTAGCGCCGAGGTCCCGGTCGCCATTCTGGTTCATACAATGATCTCCTCGCTGAGCAGATCCAACTTCGCAGTGACGAGTTGCTTCATAAAGACATTTCGTTATCCACAGCACACCTACGAGACAAGCGCGCTTCTTTACACCATAGATGGTGTCGGTGCTTCGCGGACAAATGTTTCCTCGTGAAATACGCATCAAGAACAATATTAGTGTAAGAGAGATACGCGGAGATCAAACAGATTGATTAGTCGATCGCGTATATCGTGCCAAAGACGCTCATATTGGTAAGGACCGCTTTCAGTATACGATGACACCGCTGCGATCTTGGTGCTGCCGGTACAACCTTTCGAATCTTCGGAGTTCTCGAAGGACCAAAACGTTGATTGCCGCGGCAACAAAGACCGATCACCTAATCGCCTCGCGAGGTTTTGTTAGTCTGTGTTAGTATATGTTTGTTGGAAGCCAATGCCACTGCTTTCCCAGGATCCAGTCAAACTGCGCGAGACTAGAATTAAAGCAACGATATTTTTCAAGCTTTCACCGTTGTCATGTGGAAGTGACAGGGTATCGATATCGTTCCAACCAATCGAAATTTCTGATCGCCTCAAAACCACGACACGTAGTTTTAGAGCTACTCGGACTTCTTAAAAAAGACGAGCGCGCAAGTATATACTCAGCTTGAACACGGACGCAGCCCACGTAATACGAGCCGACGGGAACGATGAGACGGCGTCAAAAGCGCCAGTCACCGGGACTCCTCTGTACGTGATCGGTTCAGCGACATTAGAACGCGCACAGAAACACGAGGAACACCGTGTCGGTGCGCGTTTGACCCTGTTCGATCGGTCCGACCAAGTTACAGCGTCGACTGCGTCCGTCCGGTCTCAAGGAGAAACGAAAAAGTTTAATTTGGGTGTCGCGCTCCCGACACAAAGAGACACCCTCGCGTCACGAGGAACCGAGCCGTTTCCAATCAGGTAGCCGGCCGAGAGCGCGGTGCCCAAGTGCGAAGGTGAAAGGGAGCGGGGGCCTCGGAGCCCAATCTCGAGGCAATTGCTCGGGGCCCCCTCATCTGCATAGCGAAGCCTCCGTCGGCCTTCGAGTCTCTCGGGCCCCGAGTGCCTGCCCGTGTTTCCGCTCCTGCAGCCAGCGCCTCAGTCGCGGAGAGAACTGGGCCGACCAGGCGCCGCCTGAGCCGGATACGACGACGTTCGGACGTTTCTGTTTTCGAGTTGCCCGCACGAAACCTGGGAGACGTCAGTGACCGAACCCGCGACAGACGTGCCCTCCTCGCGTACGTACGGGCAGACAACCTTCGACGCATATTCCTCCGCCTATGTAGGCGATGTGTGCGCCTGCGATGGCAGGCCTCATCTGTGGCGGCAGTAGTGCAGTCTAACAACCAACCCTTTTTTTTTTTTTTATGGAATATTGTTAGGGTTGTTTGCAGCAGCTCTCACTGTTCATAAGGGCTAGGGCGGTTTGAAACAACTCTTAAAAGGATACTCACTGGCCATGACCTGAAGGATCTTTGAGGAAAGTCAACCCTAGGCTAGCTCACCTGAGTCAAACAGAAAAGGTTAAAAACATTTTAACCTTTTTCTTAATAAAAACGGTCGTGGATGTGAAAATTCGAATCTGGCGTGAAACTGTCTCGCACTACCACCGCCCAGAAAATATGCGTTTTTATTATTGTTTTTTTTTTTTTTTTAGTTTTTGTGTGGTCCAGAATCTCTATCCGGCTCTGGGACCGCCATCGGGTTCGATGGTGTAGCATTGAGTGGCGCCGCAATAAAGACGAGTGAAGTGTTGGCGCGCCGCGTGGGCCAGAGGACGGACGGGATTGATGCGGGGATGTGATCGTTTGGGCTCCGTTCGGCACAGCCGCGCTGCCGAAAGGAAGAGGAATCTCACCCATTTCTATCGAATCGCCATGCACATTGACGTAGCCCACCCGCTTGGCGCCGGGTGGCTTACTCGTTGGTTCCCTTACTGCTATGATTTTCCCGGAGATTCGAATCCGCAGACACTACTGGGCCCTCTTCCGGAGGATCTCGAAAGGTGTGCACGGGCTGGGCGGTGCAAGGAGCAGCTGCTCTGTCGGTGGCTGCTCCCGGCCTCGTCCAGTCGGCGACTTGTTTCGTTCGGGCCGAGTGACGTCATTCAGATTTTCCTTTTGTAAAAACTGTGTCTTGCTTTTGTGTCGCTGTCCTCTCTGAAGGGATTGAGGCCGAGCGTTTGTGGCCCGGTTGCGCACTGGGTGCGGAAGGCCGCCTACGCCAATTTTGGATTTATGGGGCGCTACCGCGGCGATTTGAAGGCCGACTCTGCCACCCATGGATCGCTGGAAGCCGGATGTCTCCAACGACGCTAGGGTCGGCTCGCTAGGAACCAAATGAGCGAAATGTTTGATCGGACAGCCGCCGAAACGACGTCTGAGCACGGCGTCGGAGTCCTCGAAAGTGCTTTCGTTCCACGAGTGATCGTGCACACGGGGCATTCTCAAGAGCTTCGCTCCGGCTCCTCTGGCTCGGATGGTGCTGCACACAATGTGCTGGGCCAATAGGCTGGTGCAACTCCGCGTACGACGGCGCTCCGAGACAACCACTCAAATTCGCCAACCGAAATCGTTGCCGAGGACAGGTGGCGCGTTGAGGTTGCGATCCCCTGGCAGTATATGCTGCTCGTGCCTCAACCGGACTGTCAGTTCTCGGCGACTGTATTCGGGTAGAATGATCCCTCGTTTGGCTCCGAGCGGGCCGGCGTCTGCCTCCCCGAGGGCCAAGTTCTGCGGTTCGAACTCCGGTACGGGCGCAGCGTCGCGCCGCGCCCGCGTGTCCGCCCCGGCGCGCGGGTGTCGGGCGGCGCTCGCATGACAGGGTGTCTTTTATTCACGCAATACGAGTTTCCGCGGCCTGCGGGATGGATGGGCCGCGGCCCGGGACGACGCCCAGGAACCCAAGCCGCCGCCACCGCCGCCTCGGGAGGGCCTCGCTGCGTGGGGCCTTCGTCTCTGCACCGCTTGCCTGGAGGGCAAAAAGCTCTTATCACGCTTCGAAGGCTCACATCTGAAAGTAGAATTTTTGGGTGCAGGCGTAGTCGTAATATTCCCGATATAAGATTAGCATCGCTCTTCCGATCACGAATCGGCCAATTTTAGGCAGTTAGCTTTACCTCAAACAGTTATAACATCGTTGTAAGAGGGCAAGCGAAAAACACAATTACCCTTCCAGACGTGGAAGTCTAGATCCACCGCGCCGCGTGATTTTCATGCAGTCTCGGACATCCTTCCACCGTCGTTTTTGGATCATCAACAAAAAGGACGTGGCGATCAAAAGTTCGCCCGCTTATTGAGGCCTGCCCTTTCACTCGAGAAAACATTTGCCCCTAAGAGAGTAGCGTTACTAGTGCATAGTACGAAAATGGGTTTTGCGATTTGGTTCCGACTCGTGGTCGAGGCCCCCCAGGTCCTGACTGGCCCGACCTGTGTCCTTCAGCGTGCGACGTCTGGGCTGCCCGAGGCCCCGGCGGCGGCTGGGGTCCCTCTGGGCGTTCTTTCGGGCGTCGTGGGAGCCCGACGCTGTGTATACCTGCCTGCCCCCCCACGGTTCCCCGAAAACGCGTGTACATATGTGAGCGATGGCGTTTCGGGGACTCGACACGAATAAAAGGTTTCCCGTGTTTTTGCAGACGCTTTTACTCGGCCTCTTTACTCGCCTTCTTTTTCTCTCTGCGCTCGCATGCCTTCAGGGCTGTGCGATTGGCCTACTTGAGTGGGAACAAAAGAGTGCTAAACTAATCCGTTGCCCCCACTTCTTCTTTTTTTTTTTTTTATGTCGTGCGAAAGAAAGCATGCACTAGCATACGAGAGCGGAGTGGCGCGCGAAGTCGGCTCGAGCACTTAGGCTTGGAGGCTTGCCTTTACGCAATCGGAAGGCGCTGCTCCTAGCGAGTCCATCCAGCAAATTATAGATGTCGCTACTCTGGACAAAACTGGCGGCCGAAAACAGGTCGTGTCGGGGTTTGGTCGTGCCATATCAATGCGAGCTCGACGCACAACTCGGGTTTAGGCAGGCGCTCCAAACGTTTGGCCCCGTTCGTTTCAACCTTCCCACGGTGTGTTGGTGTAAGCGAGCTAGCTTAAGGGCTGTTTATACTCACGCAACGTCCGCAGGCGCAGACCGACGTTCGTTGGTCACTGCGCTATACCGTACGTCACGCCTTGTGCCGAGAAACACTCGAACGACCGTGTTGCACCACTTTGCGTATGCGCGTTTCAGTGGCAACCGCATCGTCTCTACACCGTATTTCCGCTTCCTGGTCGGTACACCAATCGTGCAATCGGTCGGTCGGAGAAAGCTCTGCGGTCGGTGTGCTTTGTCCATGTTGTGTAGTCAAGCATCAAAACGGCGATTTGAGACAGTGGTTAGCAGTTTGAAATCGAGCAAATGACTATGGATAACGAGTGCAAACCATTTATTTTCTCCAAAATATCGCGCAAATGTCGACGGAAAAATTTGAAGAAAAAAAAATCAAAATATCGCGTTTGTCGAAGCTATAGCCGCTCGGTAGGTTCGTCGGGTCGAGCCTAGCGACTTTGATTCCGCCCAGATGCTTCCATGAAATCTATGCACTCGATATTGCAGAGCGACCTCTTTCTGACAGATTGCCAGTGTGCTAGTAGATGTTCACGTTGACTAGAGAAACTGACTCCGAAGAGAGCGGACGATGCCTAAATTACCCGAGGTGCGCGTTCGAAATTGGAGTGCACTCTGCGGCGCCCCTAAACAATACAGGATTCAGTGCCATTTTCATCGCGTACCGCTAGCTACTATCGCTTACAAACTGAGACACGCCAGTTGAAACTTTCTGGCCGGCTAAGTAGCTCGGATGTTTCACTGGGCCCGCCGCTCCCGTACATTCGACGGCGCTGTTTCGATCGGGAACGGCTGCCGGTGCGTGCGACTAGCACATGATCTAATAAAGCACGCGCATTATGTCCTGCTTAATATTAATTAACTCTACCTTTGGCGCGTCATGCAGCGTCCCGCTTTTGCCGTCACCCCACCGCCTCGTTAGACGTATAGGCCTAACGAGCTTCGAGGGTAGCGCATCCTCGGAGCAGTCCACGTCCACGCACACACTCGCGAGTCGAGCGCACGAATGTTAAATATGCGCACCAACACGGGGTCGGTTAGAACGGCACGTTCAAATCGCAGAAATGAGCGTCACACCAACTGGCCTCGACATCCAGATTCCCGAATGGGGCGCGAGGGCTTCTGGGATAGTCACCGTCGTCGGTCTGTGCATGCTCGTCGACGACGCGATTTTCGAGCAAGCTTGATCCCGTCGACGCCGAGGCGCGCTAGGCTACGCTGCGCTACGTCGCGTTGCGCACAACGACGGAGTATGGACCCCCGTTCGCAACGAGCGTCAGCCAACGCGGTCGGGCGCGTGCGCTCGTCGACGTTACGACGGAGCATAAACAGCCCTTTGGCCTTCCTCGAGGAAGCGATGACCTTCCGGGGCTGCATAGAGAAAGACTGTACCTGGATCATTCGGTTCCGTTTAGAGCGACGCGCGCTCAACACTCAGTTAAGACTTGGTCACTCGCTGGGAGCCTTCCGTCGTCCGCCGCGATTGGCTACCTTTGTGTACTGCGGGACAGTTGACTCGCAGACTTTCCTTAGAGCGTAAGGGCCACTCCGTTATTACTCGACGAGGTGCTTAGGAAACAAGTGAAACGAGCGGCCCTCGAATAATGCCGCTGTCGTGGTCCGAATCGAATGAAGGGTCTCTCTTCTCGCCTCGTGTTTCTCAGAGTTGACGGGGGAAAGCTGCGCCCGTCGCTGTCTGCGCCTCGCGGGCCGCGGCGCTCTCTGCCCGCCATTGCGATGCAGGTCGCGGCCGCTGGTCCGAGCGGGACTGTTTTTGCCGGCCTTTGTTTACAGCTTGTTAACTCCGGAGCCCGACGTCCTCTTCCCGGGCGTCGTGTAAGTGGCCGGAGTCGCCAATCGATGCGAGGCCGGGACTCGAATGAATCATAACGGGGGGGAAGGAGGCATCGGAAATAGGTGCTGTGCTGCATCTCAATGCCGGGGTGTTATGAATTTCTGATACCGTCGGGAGTTGAAATGATTTCGGGGGCCCCCGGAGCGGAGGAGGAGGCGGCGCCTCCCTCGCTCTCCGGCGGGCGCACTGCCTCGGGGCTGCAGCGACGCGGGCTGTCGGCCCCGATAACCGAGATGAGCGGGAACAAGGTGAGTTATACGCCCCGGCGCCCACGTCGGGGACGCTCATCCGCTGGCCCCGGGCGCAAGGCCGAGGGGCTCACGTGACTCTCTCGCACGCTACACCACTTCCGAACGCCTAGTGCTTAGGCTCGAAGGACGCTGATGACCCCTTAAGTTTGGTTAACTATTTCTTTCTTTTTTTTTCTTTTTTTTTTTTTTTTTGTGGAGACACACGATTTTATAATGTTTCTCTTAAATTTATATATATATATATACACACACACATATATATATACGTTAACTTAATTTTTTTTTCTTCTTTTATCTGTTTATGGCAGAGACTGCCGCTTTGGCTTCACATTCGAGCGAGGTGTGTGGAAGGTTTCCGGCTGGAAAGAGCGCCAGCCTGTCCGGGTTTTTAGCCTAACTAAATATGCGACCGAAGTAGTCCTTATCACCGACTGAGGAGAATCATAATTATTATTGTTTCTAGTCCCAGTGAGATGGTGGAGGCGAAGGAATGTCTTGAGTCCCAACAAATAACACCCTAGAGCACATAGTAAGAAGTAGTCCTTGGCATTAACGAGTCACCAACAAAGGAGGTGATGGGTAAACGGATACAGCGAACAAATAGGCACTGTACGAGATGTACTTGCCCAGATATGCCCCCCAGAGCGAGCAGTCAGCTGAAAACCACTTCACCACAGACGGGCGAACAGCTTCTATTCAACTTTGGGAGATTTTAGTTCAAATTATTGTTTCCCGCAAGCTGCTTACCGTTGAATTTTCAAGTTTGATATTTCCCTCTTCAAACTGATAAGGATGTTTGTAAGCATGAACCCGACGGCTCTGTGGCCGTAGTATGGTGATGCGATTTCTGCTTCAAACTGCGTCAAAGTACTTGCTTTGCTACATGCTGCTGCGTTTCAATGAAACTTGAAAAGTCGCGCGGATATTGCGCGCCCTTACTTTCACTTTTTCAACGAGGAAAGTAGTAGTTCAGGCGTCGCTACTTTGCCGGAATGTTGCGGTAAGATTGCGCCTATTTTCAGAACTTCCGGTTATCGCGTAAAATAACACGTCGTTTGGTTTGATCACCGTATCAGACAGCGCTCGAGTTTCGTGGTATTCTCAATTGTCGTGTCCTGATCGACGCTTTATTTAGCTCCGTTGATTGCGTCTCTCAGTGCGCACTGACGGTCTGTAGAGGAGCTACGCCCGCGAACACTTTTCGGTTCAGCCATAGCACCTCCTCTATACTCACAAAGCCTGGCAGTTCGACGACGGAGGCATAGAGCGCCCGGTCGCAGATTTGGAGCGCGAGGATCTGGTAGCACAGAGCATTTCTCGGGGAACTTAGGTGTCAGTGCACAGCTTTTGCAGCGTCGAGGACCCGAAACATGGTTTTCAAACCCGACGAGAATTGAAGCGGTAGCGCGAGGAGCACGAGCGGACATTCCATCACTCGCGAGAAGTGTGTTTCGGCGCCTCGCCGCAGCGGGGCGCCCGTTACGTGACTCTCCTCTCATCCGTTGCTCTACCTTTTCAATTTCGGCGGCCGCTTCTCGTGGCGATTTGCCAGGCTATGGTACAGCTTAAATTCAGACGCAGCCGATGCTACAAGCGCGAGATCCGCGCTTTCGGCGTTCCTGCCAAGCACGCGCGCTCGTGCACTGCAAGCACTGTTCAAAACCACATGCTCGCGTTTGTAGCATCGGCTCCGTCAGGTTTAGCTGAAACGAAATATAGACATCGTGATTCTGCGTGCGTCGTTTCGCTGCAGCGGAACCTAGTGTAAAGGGATAAAACACTCTTCCAGGGTGTAATGGTGTACCACGAAGCTTCGGATTTGACATCTACCTTGCAGGAAAAATCATGAAACAAAACTATGGTCACATATAGACTGCGTCATCTTGGCAAGTTGCATGCATCAATGGTCGCTCTCTTTTTTTTTTTTTTTTTTTTTTCACATTTGAGATTTAGGGAAGGATATTTCAAACTTGGTCATCGGGAAAGCATTGGTGAATTACGTCGGTTAGATTTAGCTGATCTGCTCTATTGCTCTAAATGTTTTGTTTGGTTAACATCACACATTACGTCTCCGCATCTTCGTGGACGCAGTTAGTTAACTGATAATGGTTTCATACCGAGCACGAATTCCATAATTCCTGTTCGGTATGAATATGAATATCCGGGATGCCTTAACCTCAAAAGCACAGTGCGGGCCTGCGTGTTGGTCTCTGTGCGTTGTGAAACCTAAAGGGTGGCGATGACGAACGTCACACTTGGTAGTGGACATCGTTATTCGAAAAACTTCTGATATTTCTTTCCCCGAAGCTTTTGTGTGGGCCAAAAACTAAGGCGCGTTCAGAATGTCTGGGCATTATGAATACGAGGTACCATTTAATGGAAGGCATAAAGTCGCCTTGCGATCTGTAGTCCCTCAGCACACAAAAGTGTTTTTCA